CCGGCCAGCCCAAAGTGCAGCAAGGCACCACACCTACCCTGGGAGGGTACTTGGGCCCCCGCGCTGGCCTCTTATAGCACAGGAAGCTCCTGCACTCACGCTAAGGCCCGTCTTTTGCCCTCCTTGGATAAACTTGCCAGAAACCCCATACTGTTCCATGCCTTTGGGATAATTCCCCTGAGCCCCATAGGCCAGGGCCTGGCATTCAGTAGTTGCTCTAAAATTGTGTTTTCACCCACTCTCCTCCAGGCAGTCAGGACAGGGGAGCCCAGGCCTCTGGTCACTACTGACCAAGTCTCTCCCCTGCCCCTCTATCAGGGATTGGCTCCGATAGGCCTTAACCTAGCAGGCTAGGTAAAGCAGAGCTGGTGGCATCAAGGGTCCCGGGGGCTGCAGGGCCCTGGCTGGTACAGGAGGCTCAGCTCTCCTGCAGGTCTGCACCTTCCCAGCCGCACGGAGGGCACCAGACCCTGCCTTCTCCAGAGGCTGTACCTGGAAGATGAAGTGCTCGTCAAACTGCGGGTTGGAGGTTTTGCGTTTGGTCTTGGACTGGAGGAAGCGCCGTTCATCGGGCAGCAGGTAGAGCTTCACCAGGGGGCTGCAGGTCTCCGAGGGGGCTTGCAGGTGCCGTGCCTTGATCAAGCCTACCAGCAGCCGCTCAGCCTCCTGCTCGTATTCCACCGAGAACCACAGCCGCCCCAGGCAGCCGGCAGGAAAGTCCGTCTCACTTTTGTCCTCTGGGAACTTGTACAGCTCTGGGTTGATAGCCCCTACCATACATGCATCTCCTATAACAGAGGATGGGAAGGCTGACAGGCCAGAGGAAGGCAAGGCAGGGGCATGGGAGACAGTGGCAAGTTCTGGGCACCCAGCCCATCCTGGCCCATCCCTCTCTGCTGAGCCTCAGCTAGCCTGACCACATCTGCCCCACTCTCCTCATTAGGCTAAACGCATCCCCTCTCTCTGGTGCAGCTCCTCCAGGAAACTTCTCAGCATGAAGGCATTGCATGGCCAGGCTGGTGATCCTAGTAGAGTCCTGTCTCCTGGGATCGGCCCCCATCCCTGGAGGTCAGGACCTGTTTCAAGGACACAGTGCCCATCACCTGGCCTGGCCCCCTTTCATGGTGTCTAGGGCATGACTCAGTGATAAAGCATTGCCTTTCTTCTTCCTCTTCAAATTAGAAGGGCTAAGGTGATTATTGGGTGGTTCCTGGGATGGTCTTTTGGTAGATCTTCAGGGCAAAGAGGTGGCAGAAAGCTGTGCTTGCAGCCCCTACCATTCTGTCCTCTTGTTCAACCAACCCATCACCCTAGAGTGGGAGCCAGCACAAGTTCTGTACACGGCATGCCTGGGGTCCAATCCCAGTCTGTTGCTTACAGCCTGTTTGTGACTATGTAAAATGGGGTGATAATTCCTTCCCCCCAGAGTCATGGTGAGGTCTCACTCCAAATCAGCACCCAAGGCCATATCTCACCCTCATGGGGTGCAGCAAGCACTTCATAAATGAAAGCACCCAGAAACAGTGGTCCCTGGGCAACCCTGTCATCCCTGGCTGGTTCAGGTTGTGTTCCGGAGCCAAGCTGGTGAAAGCAGATGAGGCCACCTGAGTAGACCCTGACCTCTGGGTGGCCCTGGCAGGGACACTCACCAAGGCCGCCACTAGGGGTGTGAGGCAGAAGCTCTGATGCCGGGCAGGAGTCCCATGGGGCATGGGTCCACTCTCCACTGTGCAGGGGCACCCAATCTCGGCCTTGAAGGGAAGGGGGCACCACGAATGGTACATCTGGTGGCCTGTCCAGAGTCAGGGAGACAATATGTAGGTGGCAAGTGAATGGTGTGGTCTTAGAGTGCTCAGCCAACATGGCTGAGCACCAGGGGCTAGAGGAAGAAAAGCCATCGGGAGCCAGGAGGAGGCCAGGGCACCATTTTCTGGGCCCATATCAGGCAACACACACACACACACAACACACACACGCACACAGCAGTGGGATTTGGAGAAGGAACACAGCCCCTGACAGTGTCAGCCAGTCTGGGTTTGAATTCCTGTTCTGCCACTTCCTAATCGTGTTCTCTGGACCTGTTGCTTATGTGCACTAAGCCTCAGTTCCCTCACCTGGAACATGGATTTCATAACGCCTGCCTAATAGCTGATGTGAGGTTTCTGGGGTTTCCTTGTGATAGCTCCCAGCACCGAAGCAGCATAGAAGAGGCACCCCATAAACAGAACTTTCCTTTTTGACCCCACCCTGAGGGAAATTCCAGGGGCCCACTCGGCCCCACATCCTGCCTCACCTGCTCAGTTGGGTCCTAGCATGCGGCTGGCAGGGCCTGTCCTGCTGCCCACTGGAGGCGGCTGCGCTGGCCATGGCTGGTGTCCCAGGCAGCTCCTCATAGGTGAGGGTGGCACAGAACCTTCTCCACAGACAGCAGCTTGCCCCGATCAACAGCAGCAGCAGCAGCCCCCCGATGGTGCCCCCAATCACCAGGGCCAGCTGCTCTGGGGGCAGAGACCACCAGTGCTGTGATGCCTGCCTGGGAAAGCCACTCTCCCTCACAGCCCTGGCCTGCTGGGGCAGAACTGGGGCAGCAACCCTGCCTCTGGGTTTGATCTCAGGAGTGATAGGAGCAGGTCTGCGGGGGAGGGGTTCCAGGAGGGGTGCTGCTGGCTGGGTTCCGCCAGCTCTCAGAGGAGAAGCTGTTTACCCCAGGGTCTCAGGGCCCTGGGCAGAACCTTCTGGTTTTCCTTGGAAAACAGCTGGCCCTGCCCTTGGGATTCTGGCTTAAAGAAGCCATTTCCTTGCGCTTCCGAGTAGAAATCAAACCTGCCCTCACCAGAACCTCCATATTCCCTGGGCTCCTGTTGAGGCCAGCAGGGGAGCTGGGGTGTGGACGCAGTCAGTAAAGGAAAGCCCTGAAAGGTACCTTCCTCCCGGTCTGCAATCAGACATCTACCCTCTGGGGCCCTGGAACCTCCTACAAGGCTGGGCTCTTCTCTAACACCCGCTCCCTTCCCTAGCCCTCTATTAAGGTGAGCATGCTCTTAGGGGAGTTGGTGGGAGGCGGTGGACGGGGTGGGGAGGAGGAGGGGGCAAGGCCCCTTTGTTGCTGGCCCTCACATGTCCTCATTTGGGGGACCCAGGAGGCTTCGCCGCAGGGGTGCTCAGACGCTGGGTTCCAACCCCTGGGACCTGGGGCGGGCCAAAAAGGTGGCTCCCTTAGGGTGACGTGCGGCCGCGGGGCATCCCGGTCTCAGGGATCTGGACTGGGTGGGGTGGTGAGAAGGCTGGACCCCCGACACCTCCTAAGCCGCAACTGACCGCGAGGAGCGGGCCTCAGCTTCCACTCCATCCCAGCGCCCCTCCAGGAGCGCTCCGAGGCTGGGCAGGGCAGGCGATGCGCCCCAGCGCGGGGCGGAGGCAAGTGCTGGAAGGGTCGCAGAGGGGCCGGGGCCGGGCTGGGGAGGGCGAGGCTCGCTTACCCGCCATGGGGTTGCTCCCGCAGGCTGGTCTCTCCGGTCTGGGCGGCTGGGGCTGGGCTGCCAGGGCGGCTCTTAAAGCGCAGTGGGGCGCCGTCGGGCGGGCGCGGGGGCGGTCCGTGGTGGCGCTGGTGCCTAGCTGCGGCGCGGGGAGCCGCGCAGTGCACGGCAGGGGCAGGGACCCAGCGCCCCGAGGCCGCAGCCCCGCCCCAGCCCAGCCCTGGCCCAGGCCCAGGCCCGGAGGTGGAGGGGCGCAGAGGGGACCGTGAGCTCCCGGAAACCCCAGGGCTCCGGCCAGGGCGGGTCCCGGGCACCAGTGCTAGGGGCGCCCGGGGTTCCCTGCGGCTTGGGGCAGGGTGGGGTGAGAGGACCACCCCCATCCCAGAGAGCAGAGCTACAACCACCGCGTCTGACACAGGGCTCCGCGCCTGACCCCTCACACCTGGTGGCCAGGACTGAGCCCCCTTCCTCCCAGATCCTCCGCACTTCCTCCCAGATCCTCCGCAAGCCGAGGCGCCTCCAGGCGCAGCTCCAACCCCGGCTCGAGGGAGCCTTCCCAGATCCCCGGGCGGAGTGTCCGCGCGGGTCCCGGGCCCCAGCGCTGCCCACCTGACGGCCTTGGGCAGGGATGCGGCGCTCGCTCACCCGTTCGCTCTAAACCGCGAGAGGTCGAGAGCAAGATTCTGGAGCGGATTCCAGAAGCTCCTGGGTTCCAACTCAGGCTCCTCACTCTCTGGCCCTGTGATCTGGGACAACTTAACGTCCGCACTCTGGATTCAGTTTTCTCAATTGTGTTAATGTCTGTGAGGGTCTCTCGTAAGGGCGGTTGGCCTGCCGGTGACTTACAAAGTGTGAAAGGAACACTTAGAGTGGAGGAGCGGGGAGGCCCAACCCCTGTTACGGGGGTTATCGGATGGAGGCTAGCGTCTCCTGGGTCGCCTCTGTACCCCCAGCGCCTGTTATTATGGTGATTATTAGAATGCAGAGCCCGTGCCCACCAGTCCAGGATGGCGAACGCGCCTTGCGGGAAAAGCGGGAGTAAGGTCGCTGCGCGTCCTCTCTGGTCACCCTGCGGCGCGCCCTGGCCGCACCCCTATGGTTCCCCCGCCGAGGCTCTGGTGGGGAGCGTCTGAAACCTCGAGGCGTCTGAGTGGGGACCGAAAGGAGTGTGTGTATCTGTGGTGCAGGGGAGTGTGTGTGTGGGGGGGTGGGGGTTGTGGGGGAATGCGTGTTTTGCGGGGATGGGCCTTCTCGTTTTACAACCTTGAAGGTTGTGTCCAGAGTCATAGCCTGGGTCCCACACCCCCACATCACCTGTGCCTGTTCTAGGGGGCAGTGTGCATGAGGCTCTACCCTGCCTGGGCTTTGGCCTACCTAAGACGGGGAGGGTGGTGAACTGGGATGCCCCACTGGGCCAGGTCTGGGAGCCCTCAGCGCCAAGGTGCAGAGGCCCCAGCCACTCCCCTTCTAGGGTCTGGGCGGTGGGGGCATGAGAAGGCAGAGACCCAGGCCTGTTCACCCAGTAACTGTCCTCAGCTGTGCGCTTAACTGGCTCTCCACTCTACTTGGAGAGTCTGGGGTGTCTGGAGAATCCTCCCCTACTTCTGCTTTCCCGAGGTCACCGTGGGGGCAGGTGTCTCAGGAAATGGGGCCTGGGTCCCACCAAAGACCTTGGGTCTGCTCGGGTCTGAGTTAGATGTCTGCATGCTTCTTGTTGCCCCTGCAACAAAGTACCAGATTGAGTAGTTTAAGACACATGCTTATTATCTCACAGTTCTGGGGGTCAGGAATTTAAACTGGGTTGGCAGGGCCTGTGCCTTCTGGAGGCAAGGGAGCTGTTTCCCAGCGTTTCCAGCTCCTAGAGGCTGCCAGCTAGTGGCCCTTTCCTTTGTCTTCAAAGGCGGCAGCACAGCCTTTTTTTTTTTTTTTTTTTAGGACAGGCCCCGGTGTGTGGTGTTCCCCACCCTGTGTCCAAGTGTTCTCATTGTTCAATTCCCACATATGAGAGAGAAAATGCAGTGTTTGGTTTTCTGTCCTTGTGGTAGTTTGCTCAGAATGATGGTTTCCAGCTGCATCCATGTCCCTACAAAGGACATGAACTCATTCATTTTTATGGCTGCATAGTATTCCATGGTGTACATGTGCCACATTTTCTTAATCCAGTCTATCATTGATGGACATTTGGGTTGGTTCTAAGTCTTTGCTATTGTGAATAGTGCCACAATAAACATATGTGTGCATGTGTCTTTATAGCAGCATGATTTACAATCCTTTGGGTATATACCCAGTAATGGGATGGCTGGGTCAAATGGTATTTCTAGTTCTAGATCCTTGAGGAATAGCCACACTGCCTTCCACAATGGTTGAACCAGTTTACAGTCCCACCAACAGTGTAAAAGTGTTCCTATTTCTCCATATCCTCTCCAGCACCTGTTGTTTCCTGACTTTTTTAATGATTGCCATTCTAACTGGCGTGAAATGGTATCTCATTGTGGTTTGATTTGCATTTTTCTGAGGGCCAGTGATGATGAGCATTTTTTCATGTGTCTGTTGGCTGCATAAATGTCTTCTTTTGAGAAGTGTCTGTTCATATCCTTTGCCCACTTTTTGATGGGGTTGTTTGATTTTTTCTTGTAAATTTGTTTAAGTTCTTTGTAGATTCTGGATATTAGCCCTTTGTCAGATGAGTAGATTGCAAAAATTTTCTCCCATTCTGTAGGTTGTCTGTTCACTCTGATGTTAGTTTCTTTTGCTGTGCAGAAGCTCTTTAGTTTAATTAGAACCCATTTCTCAGTTTTGGCTTTTGTTGCCTTTTCTAACCTCTCCTGCTCCGAGCCATTTCACATCAACTATTTCTGCCTCCCTCTTGTAAGGACCTCTGTGACTACACGAGGCTCATCAGATTAATCACACCTGCAAAGCCCCTTTTGCGGTGCAGTCACGGGGTTGGGGGTGAGGACGTGATGTCTCTGGGACCATTGTGTGAACCATGTTGTCCATGCAGTACCCTGGGAGGGGTGGCTTATATTTCCCCTTCCTCTGTTTAGAGCTCAGTGTGCCTCAACACTGGACTCAGGCAGCTAGCAAGGCTGAGGGGACCCCTACATGGAACCCTTCAGCTATCCTGACCCCTTCCCCCAGCTGCCCTGCACCCCCACTTGCCCACCCCAATGGGGCATGGCATGCCACCCATACCAGCTGCCTCCATGATTGGGACTAAGCTGTACTCAGGCTCTTCTGGGGGTGGGGTTGGGTAGTAGGATGTTTTTTGAAAAAGGAATCCCTTCTGGCACTTCCTGAGTGCCAGGCCCAGAGCTGCCATCTCTCAGCCCCCATGCTGTGCTTTTCCAAAGTCCCCATCTTTCTCTGCGTCGCCAAGTCCTGACAACTCTTCCTCCTCCGTCCATCTCTATCACGGCAAAAACCTTGCCCAGCCCTCCATCACTTCTCATCTGGAGCTCTGCATGGGCCTCCTCTCAGCTCTTCAGATTCCATGCTGTACCCCCTTCCCAGCTGGTGTCTTCCAGGCTCCCCTCCCATTTTCATCCCCCCACCCCCCATCTCTCTGCAGTGCTTGTGCCCAGACTGGTGCAGCTACTTCCACGGCTCTGCTTATGCACTGGGCTCTCCCACCATGCTGCTCTCTCCTTTCTGAAATACTCAGTGCCCCTCCCACCTGCCTTTCTCCACTGCTCATGTTTCAACATGAATCCCCAGCATCTTGTCTTCTGTGAAACCCTTCATCATCCCCTCCTTGTCCTCATGGTCCTTGCAGCTACCATGCTGAATATGGGACTCTGTGCCTGAGACCGATGCCCCACTCTTCCTGGCAAGCCAGGGCCTCCATGAAGGCAGGGGGCCATGTCTTCTTCAGCTTGGCATCCCCAGTATCCACTTCCAGGGCTGAGGCTGTGCTGAATGGCAGATGAAGGGCTTGTGCCATGGGGATGAGCTGCCCCAGCTTCTGCCCACGTTGTCCATGCATCATACACATCCTGGGCTCACAATTTAGGGCCCAACAGGAGCTCCCTGTCCTGGTCCTTTAGACCACCTTCTGGGGTCTGCAAAATCACATTGCCAGCTCTATCTGCAAAATCCTTACATAGCCAGCCAGCCCACTAAATTTTGAGTCAATCTTCCTCCACCAGAAGATGAGAGCAGGTGGCAAGACGGAGCTCACCTTTCTTGCTGCTCCTGATGTTCTGAGCATTGCGATGCAGGCTTGATGTACACGATCCCATGGAGCCCTGCCTCAGGTCTGCCCTGCAGGGTCATGACCACCTCCTCAGACAAGGAAACTGAATCAGAGAGGCTTCCTGGCCCACCCACTAAGTGGTGGAGCTAGGCCTGGCACCTGGCTCCCTCAGTCCTTCTTCACCAGTGATCAGCTATAGGGCAAGGATCCAGGAGACCCTCTCCTGTGGCCCTGACCATGAACCAGGCAAAGAGCCGCAGGCACTTTGGGCAGCCTCCCCTCCATCCACTGCCCCGGGGGTTCTGAGACCTGGCTGGCCTGGAGCCAGCTCCCCAGAACAGAAAGGCATCCAGGGTCTGGCAGCAGCTCTGGTTCTGCTTCCTGTTTTCAGACCTTGTTCTTCCTTGTGTCTCTGGAGCTGGGAAGCCTGGAAACAGCAGCAGATATGGATTCTGTCTTTCATGGCCAAGCAGAAGTTATATTTCCATGGCAAAAGCACTTCCAAGGAGGGCTGCAGGAAGTCCAAGAGTTTAAAGACCTGCAAATGCCTGCAGGTGATTAATAATTCAGTGCAGCAGATGATTACGAGAAAGGCCACTTTCAATTAACCTTAAGAATCATCCCTGTCTAAGGAAGTGTCATCTCTCATCACTGAGGAACACAGAGGCCATAGCAGGATAAAGGCTACGCTGAGAAGCAGGTGGAAGACTGTGTTTCTCATATTCATGCAAATTGCACCAGGTCAGCCCAGGTCCTTCTTTGTGAGGAGGGAGAGGGTTCCCGTGCCAACATCCTGTCTGCTCTTTGGTTCTGCTATGACGGTCTCAGACTTAATTTCCTCCAGCCCCTTCTTTTGAGGAGCTTGGAGGGAGTATTTTTCCTTGTTGGATCAGAAACTCTCGTTCCCCACTGAAACATGATGGCTCAAAATTGTGTCCCCTCCTGCAGACAGTCACTCCCAG